TACCCTCTTGCTCTTACAGTTTGACTAATTCCTCTTTACTAATTATTTCCCTATCTTGGTTCTGGATACTCTGAAACTATATTCTGAGGTTTCACTCTATACCTTCTTGTTTTCCTTGACTCTCTTTTGCCTTGACTAGTGTGACACCATTCTTCCCTGGCTTTTATCCACTGCCGACCTTCTTCCTTTAGTTCTCTATAAATGTCAGTATTTTTCACAATTTAGTCCTCATCTCTTTTTTCTTATTCTAAACACTCTCTCTTTCTAACTTTTTCTGTCATTGCCCTTAGCTGCCATCTCTGTATGCTGATGACTTCCAAATCCAAATTCCTAGATTTGTTCTCTTTTTTCAGTTCCATTATTATATCCAACTCCTTGCTCAAGAGCATGAAAGTCCCACAGGTTTCCCAACTTATAGCTGTGTTGGCTCTATTTGAGGGGATTACTTCTGGGAGCTTTTGATTAGGAATAGAAACATTTTTTAATAACAGTATTCCAGGCCGGATGTGGTGGCTCATCTGTATAATCCTAACACTTTTGGAGGCTGAGGTGGGAGGATCACTTTGGGCCAGGAGTTCCAGACCAGCCTGGACAACAGAGGGTGACCCCATCTCTACAAATAAATAAACGAACAAATACTTTAAAAAGTATTTAACTCCGAAATGAGTTGTGTCTGTTTGGTACAATCCCTAGGGCAAAGGCAAGATGGAATGTGGAAATGGCAAAAGCTTCCCTTTTTTTCAGAGGAAGCCACTGATATGTCCACCAAACCATTATTTATAGTTTTAGCTCATCCTAAAAGCAGAAGGCTCACCCTAATTACCAGTTTAAGCAGAAAATATAAAAGGAAGAGCTGCGCCCAGTCTCATAATCCACTTCTGTCTGCCATCACCTTCTTCAGGTACTTCATGGTGCCTATCCCAAGACTCAGAACCTTACCAAATCCACTCCTACACAAATTGTTCAAGACCAACTCCTCCCTGGAATGCTCTAGATTTCAGACCTAAATTTCTCTGAAACTAATGTTATGAAACCAAGTTCTAAGAGCTATGTCCCCCAGGGCGTCTCTAGTACAGACACTCTACCTCCTGCAGCTCTTGTCCCCACATTTCTATGATGTAACTGTGCTGTGAGCAAGAGTTCATAATGCAATACAACATTTGCATATAATGCAATAATTACGCACTAAATATTATAATTATGGAATAACATCATAAGGCCCAATCACAAGCTACATGCAGCAGCAGCCTGCTCATACACATACAATATCAGAAACTGTTTTCACTTGCAAGTTGATATTGAAATGGGAAAGGTTCCCTGTCCCCCTCGCAGAGCATGCAATGGAGGTGTGGCTCACTTTTTCAGTGCCTCACTGCTCAAACCTCTAAGGGAGCATACGGACAGGTAGGCTGTGGGGCTCCGACCCCATGGCAGTGTCTAGGGGTGAATGTTTACGGCTCCTGAAGCCCCCATGGGCATGTGTTACAGGATGCTCTTAGTTTGTCATCTTGTATTAACCAGCTCAATTAGACCCTCTACCTTGTTGCAAGGACAGAAGGCTTTCTGTATCCTGGGTTCTTGCCTTGGTGTACTGGAAGAATCTGATCACACGTGGGCTTGGAGAATGAGTGCAAAGTTTTACTGAGTGGAAGTAGCTCTCAGCCCATGGAGGAGCCAGAAGGGAGATAGTCTTCCCCCGGAGTTGGACCACTCGGCAGCCCCAGCTCTCCTCCGACTGTCCTGGCCAACGTCCACCTCATCCTGCCTGCCGGTGGTGTCCCACCAGTTGGTGGCCTGCCGGTGTGCTGGTGCCTGCTGGTGTGCTCTTCTCCTGGTGTGCTCCTCTCAACGACCAGCCACTTGCGTCTTCTTCCACCAATGTGTTTCTCACAATGTCCAGCCACTGTGTCTGCCTGCTAAGGTCTCTGGTTTTTACAGGCCCAGGATGGGGGTTTGGCAGGCCAGGGTGGTCTTGGGAAATGCAACATTTGGGCAGGAAATGCAAGATTTGGGCAGGAAATGCCTGTCCTCATCTAGGTCTGTGGGGTGGAGCCCTAGGCAGAGACGATGCCTTTCTCTATCCAGCACTCCCCTTCCTCCCTTTTGTATTATTTAAAGGGACCACACTCTTCCCTTTCCAGCACTCCAGTATCAATATGTACCCTTAATCAGGAACGAAGCCTGATGTCAAGTGGATGGATGTTTCCTCTTATTCAAGCTATGAACCTTATTTTCACCAGTGAAATGATTGGCATTGAGATTGAGCACCCAGAACTTCTCCACATGCTTGAATCTCTAGAGCCTCCATTCTCAGGCTGATGAAATCATTTCTGTACTTCAAACCCATCTAGCAGGAGAGGCTGCCTAGAAGCCAGTTAGTAGTGCTGAGAGGTGACAACATGCTAGCAATCCTCGCTGGCTTTCAGCGCCTCCTTGGCCTCCGCGTCCACTCCTGCTGCACTTGAGGAGCCCTTAAGCCTGCCCCTGCGCTGTGGGATCCCCTCTCTGGGCTGGCCGAGGCCGGAGCCAGCTCCCTCTGCTTGCAGGGAGGTGTGGAGGGGGAGGTGCCGGCAAGAACCGGGGCTGTGCCTGGCGCTCGTGGGCCAGCGTGAGCTCCAGGTGAGTGCGGGCTCAGCGGGCCCCACACTCCGAGTGGCCCCAGGTAGTGAAGGGCTTAGTACCCGGGCCAGCAGCTGTGGAGGGTGCACCAGGTCCCCCAGAACTGCCAGCCTGCCCACGCTGCCCTGGAACTCTCTCAGGGCCTCAGCCGCCTCCCTGCGGGGCAGGGCCCAAGACCTGCAGCCCACCATGCCCAAGGCCCCCCCACCTGGTGGCCTCCTGCACAGCAGGAGCCTCCCCGACGGGCACCGCCCCCTGCTCCTCAGCGGCCAGTCCCATCCACCACCCAAGGGCTGAGGAATGCGGGTGCCCTGGTGTGGGACTGGAGGGCAGCTCCACCCACAGCCCCAGCACAGGATCCACTAGGCAAAGCCAGCTGGGTTTCTGAGTTGGGTGGGGAATTGGAGAACTTTTATGTCTAGCTGGAGGATTATAAATACACCAATCAGCACTCTGTATCTAGCTAAAGGATTGTAAATGCACCAATCAGCACTGTGTGTCTAGCTCAAGGTTTGTAAACATACCAATCAGCACCCTGTCAAAATGGACCAAACAGCTCTCTGTAAAATCGACCAATCAGCTCTCTGTAAAATGGACCAATCAGCAGGATGTGGGCGGGGTCATATAAGAGAATAAAAGCAGGCTGCCTCAGGTCCTCTTCCATGCTGTGGAAGCTTTGTTCTTTTGCTCTTTGCAATAAATCTTGCTGCTGCTCACTTGTTGGGTCTGTACCACCTTTATCAGCTGTAACACTCACTGTGAAGGTCTGCAGCTTCACTCCTGAAGCCACTAAGACCACAAACCCACTAGAGGGACAAACAACTCCAGATGTGCCACCTTTGAGAGCTGTAACACTCACCACAAAGGTCTGCAGCTTCACTCCTGAAGCCAGCGAGACCACGAACCCACCAGAAGGAAGAAACTCTGGACACATCTGAACATCAGAAGGAACAAACTCCGGAGACATCATCTTTAAGAACTATAACACTCACCACAAGGGTCTGCAGCTTCATTCTTGAAGTCAGCGACACCAAGAACCCACCAATTCCAGACACAGTGCCACAGTTCTAAAGCTTAAAACTGGTCAGGGACCACAAGAAGAAACACATTTCATCCAAGGAAACACGAGCTCCCTGCCCTGCCTTCCCCTCCCCTCCCCTGCCTTCCCCTCCCTTCCCCTGCCTTCCCCTCACATCCCCTCCCCTGCCCTACCCTGCCCTTCTTTTTTTCTTTCAACTGTAGAGTGAGGTCTCACTGCATTGCCCAGGTTGGTATAAAGCTCCTGGGCTCAAGCGATCCACCAGCTTAAGCCAGCCAAAGTGCTGGGACTACAGGTGTGTGCCACCACACTCTGCTAGAAACGTGAGTTTCTAAATGTTAAGATACGTGGTGGGTCACACCTGTAATCTGAGCACTTTGGGAGGCCGAGGCAGGCGGATCACCTGATGTCAGGAGTTTGAGACCAGTCTGGCCAACATGGTGAAATCCCATCTCTACTGAAAATACAAAAATTAGCCAGGCGTGGTGGCAGATACTTGTAATCCCAGCTATTCGGGAGGCTGAGACAGGAAAATCGCTTGAACCCAGGAAGCAGAGATTGCAGTGAGCCAAGATCGTGCCATTGCACTCCAGCCTAGGGGACAAAAGCAAGAATTTGTCTCAAAAAAAAAAAAATTTCAGGGGTCAGGCGTGGTGGCTCACGCCTGTAATCCCAGCACCCCAGCACTTTGGGAAGCTGAGGCAGGCAGATCACTTGAGGTCAGGAGTTCAAGACCATCTTGGCCAACATGGTGAGACCACCCCCCATCTCTACTAAAAATACAAAATATTCGCCAGACATGGTGGCTCGCACCTGTAATCCCAATTACTTGGGAGGCTGAGGCAGGAGAATAGCTTGAACCCAGGAGGTGGAGGTTGCAGTGAGCCGAGATTGCACCACTGCACTCCAGCCTGGGCAACAGAGCGAGGCTCCATCTCAGATAAATAAATTAATTAATTTTAAAATAAATATAAAATTAATTTTTAAGCAGAAAGAAAAATTGAAATATTTGTACTGAGAAAAATGCCATGTCCAACAAACTTAATGCTAGTTCTAGATTGTTTAGGTAGCTTTATAAAGGCAGGGAGGAAGGAAGGGAAAGAAAGAGGGTAAAAAGAAAAAAATACATAAAGGAGGCCTCCTTATCCAGAAATCAGTGAGAAAGGTTGGAGGCTTTGGTTCTATATACCCCAAAACTATCTTTTCAAGTTGATCAACGTTCCTTCATCTCGTAGTGCTATTTTATATATATTGAGATTGCAGAAATGTATAGCTGATATATTTGTAGTTTGGTATGTTGAGAATGCTTTCATAATTAAGACATACATACATTTTTTGTAGTGCAAGTAATCTCGATGTTTGAATGTTTGAATGATCGACTGAAAAGAAGACACAAACAATTTCAAACAGTGTCTCTGGTACCAGGACAAAGCAGGAACATTCTGATCCTAGAGTTGTTTAAACAAAGGCTGGAGAGTACTGCCTTCTTTGGCATACCAGAACCCACAGTAAGATGGTAAGTTACTGTGTAACCAGATGTGACCTTCAAGTCCAACAAGTCCAACACTATCAAATTATAAAGAAGGATTTCAGTAGCAGCTCAGATTACAACCTCACTCACTCCACTGAGCCACTCCCTGAGTATTGCAAAACACTTATTATAGGATGCAGGTATTGGTAAGGCGATTCTAATCAATGTCCTAATGTGTTTTTTCAAAAGTGTATTCTTGTAAACCGAGTTTTAAGACATCATGACCCTGGCATGAATCACAAGATCAAAAAAGTCTTCTGAGATTCTGCAAACATGGTCTCTCTATCTCCTTGACATTCTCCTGTAACATTCCAGACAGGCTGTTGAGATTGAGGTAGAGATAGAATGGGCAGCCTGAAGAAAATTGTAAATGTTTGTAAAACCCTCTGAGGGGATTTGGTGAAGCAGATGGCCCAGACCAAATAAAAGGACTGCGGAGCTGTGTTGGAGGTTCACCTGAGTTTAAAGGGCATGGATTTATTGTGGCTATTGCATACTAGACCCCTTGAGTTTGTTTTCACGTTTGATCCTCATGATATCTAAATGTGTAAATATAATTTTCCTGATTATGCAGGATTTAAGTCACTAATACAAGCTGCCACCACTAGTTAGGGTTTTGTGGTTGCAAACAACAGAAAATCACTTTTATCACAAGATAAAAGAGATTTCCTTGGAAAAATATGTGGAAACAAGAGGGACAAAACAAAAGGGGAGGTTAATGAATCAGTATGTAAAAAACAAAACCAAAGCATTTCAAAGGCCTTAGTAGTAGAAATGAATAGATTGATTATTTAGGACATAGCTGCCTGTGTATTGCTTAATACCTTTGGATCACTCCACCCCAGAGTCCAATTCCAGAGAGAGGAGATGGTGCGGAGACACTGTCTGCCTTAGCCAGAGTCATATTCTTAGTTGAGGAGCTGCCTCCAGGACTGGAATACAGCATTGTGCACATTAAGATGGTTTTGCCAAAGAAAGGAGGCTGGATAATAGTGAGCAAAAGTCCACTGCAGATCAAATAGCAGAATCTATATTTGTCAGATGTGAAACCTAACGTTATATGCTCTTTAGCTAGGTCTGTTGTCGTCTGGATGATTATAGCACAAGTGAAACAGAAGAATAAGAGATTTGAAGGCGTTAATGCTGGAAATAGTGATGGATAATCACTATGCTTCTGAGCTAGGGAAGAAAATGAAGCCTGAAGATAATTTGGAAACCAGGAGAACTGAGACAAGGTGGGTTTAAATCAAGTTTAGCCTAAAGCTGCCTTCTCACATATTTAAGTTTGGCCTAAAGGTTTTTCTGTACGTCATGAACCGTAAAAAGTGGAGGTGTAAACCGACCCTAGCCCACACCTGTGCCAGTCACTGAGTTTTGGCCAATCAGACTTAGGCAAATGTTCAAACCGTGTTCAAATAAGGCAAGTGCCAAGCTGTAACCAATCCAGTTGTTTCTGTACTTCACTTCTGTTTTCTGTATATCACTTTCATTTTGCTGTCCATAAATCTTCCACCACGTAGCTGAGCTGGATTTGCTATGAATCTGCTGTGATTCTAGGGGTTGCCCTGTTCACAAATTGTTCATTGCTCAGTTAAGCTCCTTTACATTTAATTCTTCTGAAGTTTTTTATTTTATTTTATTTTAACAGTGGTAAGAAATTTCTAAGAATCTTCTGAGATTTTCTTTTCTTTTCTTTTTCTTTTTTTTTTTTGATACAGAGTCTCCCTCTTTTTGAGACATCATTTCACCATGTTGGCCAGGCTGGACTAGAACTCCTGACCTCAAGTGATTTGCCTGCCTTGGCCTCCCAAAGTGCTGGGATTACAGGAGTGAGCCATTACAGCCAGCCAAATCTTCTGAGATTATGCCAGAAATTATTATTATTTTTTGAGATGGAGTTTCACCATTTTGCCTAGGCTGGAGTAAAGTGGTGCAATCTCGGCTCACTGCAACCTCCGGGCCCGGGTTCAAGCAATTCTCCTGCCTCAGCTTCCCAAGTAGCTGGGCTTACAGGTGCCCACCACCATGCCTGGCTAATTTTTGTATTTTAGTAGAGTTGGGGCTTCACCATATTGGCCAGGCTGGTCTCGAACTCCTGACCTCAGGTGATCCACCCACCTCAGCCTCCCAAAGTGCTAGGATTACAGGTGTGAGCCACCATGCCTGGCCTATTATGCCAGAAATTCTATGATGTAAACCAAGCAAGAGGCATGCCATGAGAAACTGAGGTGCTACAAAAGGTCATCAAAGAGCAAATAAAGTTCCAATTGTATTTTCATTTCATTTATTTATTTATTTAAAATAGAGCCAGACACAGTGGCTCACTCCTATAATCCCAGCACTTTGGGAAGTTAAGGCTTGAGCCCAGGAGTTTGAGACCAGCCTGGGAAATATAGCGAGACCCTGTCTCTATAAAAAATTTTTTAAATTAAATTAGCCAGACATGGTGGCACATGCCTATAGTTCCAGCTAGTCTAGAGGCTGAGATAGGAGGATAACTTGCACCCATGAGATTGAGGCTGCAGTGAGCTATGTTCACGCCACTGCACTCCCATCTGGGCAACAGAGCAAGACCCTGTCTCAAATGAATAGAATAGAATAGAATAGAATAGAATAGAATAGAATAGAATAGAATAGAATAGAATAGAATAGAATAACCATACTGTCATTTATTTCCATTTACTAGGGGAAAAGAGGGAGAAGCAGAATCATCACTATCCAGCTCCCCAAGTAATATGAGATCCAAAGCTGGCTGCTGTGGTGTATGCCTGTAATCCCAGCTACTCAGGAGACTGAGTTGGAAGGATCTCTTGAGCCCAGGAATTTAAGACCAGCCTGGGCAACATAGCAAGACCCTGTCTCAAACAAACAAATAATATGAGATCCTTTGAGGTAAGCTTTACAGTAAACATACATTTCTAACATTCTATTCTTACCCAGTGAAAATCTACAAAATAAATCTAAAATTACCCACAAACCTGTTGTTTTCTTTAGTTTTTTTGTTTGTTTTATTATATATGTGTGTGTGTATGTGTGTGTGTATTTTTTAAATACAGATGGGAGCATGGTGGCTCATGCCTGTAATCCCAACACTTTGGAAAGTCAAGGCAGAAAGGTCCCCTGAGGTCAGGAGTTCAAGACCAGCCTGGCCAACATGGTGATACACCATCTTTACTAAAAATACAAAAATTAGCTGGGAGTGGTGGTATACACCTGTAGTCCCAGCCCCTCGGGAGGCTGAGGCAGGAGAATCACTTGAACTTACGAGTCAAAGATTGCAGTGAGCCGAGATCCCATCACTGCACTCCAGCCTGGGTGACAAGGCAAGATTCTGTCTCCAAAACAAACAAACAAACAGACAGACAGACGGAGTCTCACTATGTTAGCCACGCAGGTCTCTAACTACTGGCCTTAAGCAATCCTCTTGCCTTAGTCTCTCAAAGTGCTAGGATTACAGGCATAAGCCACTATGCCCAGCCATTTTTATGAGACAGGGTCTGACTTTGTTGGCTTGGCTAGAGTGCAGTGACAAAATCTAAGCTCACTGCAATGTCTGCCTTTTGGGCTCAAACCATCCTTCCACCTCAGCCTCCTGAATAGCTGGGACTACAGCTGTGCACCACCATGCCCAGCTAATTTTTTTTTTTTTTTGTATTTTTGGTAGAGATGGGGTTTTGCCGTGTTGCCCAGGCTGGTCTCAAACTCCTGGCCTTAAGTGATCCTCTCGCCTTGGCCTCCCATAGGCCAAGGATTACAGGCACGCCTGGGATTACACTGTCCAACCACTGGCTCAAGAGAAGCAGAAAGTCTTCTCAATGGTTCAAAATTCATTTTATGTTCAAACACAGGCCTTCTGCAAATTTAGACTCTGAGTTCTTTAGGGTAGTGACTATAATTCTTCCTAGACACACAAGGCCAACAAGGTGATTGTCACAACAGCACTGAGCAAAAGCCATTACATATTAGTAGCCAGTAAGAAACAAGATTCAGGACCCTATAGAGGAGAGCACTCTCATATGTGGCAAGCAGAGTGGTGGAAGGGGCGTTTGGGTGCATGCTCATCCATTACAGCCAGTCGGCGGCTCTGAAGTCTAAGTAAGATGAACACACACTGCTGTACTGGTAGGCACCTAGGCAGTAAGTAACAATTCACCAGATAAAATTTTAGGTGGAACTACAGATTTGAAAAGTTCCAGGATGCAATACAATGTCTATAGGAGCATGACTATTAACATGAGAAGTCAGTATCTTGGAAACAAGTAGGGTCCCTTTCCCTGGAATATTGAAGAGATCTGAAGACCACATCTTCAAGTACCTGAGGGGAGACCTAATACAATGAGTTCTGTGGCTTTTTGCCAGACCCAGTGCAGGGAATCCATGAACTCATCAGGCCTCCTGCTCTGCTTGGGGACTCATGGCCAGAAAATGTGTTTTAGGTTCTAATACAGTCAGAAGTACATTAATTATTTGGTTTACTGAAAACTCAGGCCAGGTGCAGTGGCTTACATCTGTAATCCCAACGCTTTGGGAAGCTGAGGCTGGAGGATTGCTTGAGCCCAGGAGTTGAAGACTAGCCTGGGCAACATAGTGAGACTTCGTCTCTATAAAAAGTAAAAAATTAGCCAGGCATGGTGGTGTGCACCTGTAATTCCAGCTACTCGGGAAGCTGAGGTGGGAGCATCCCTTGAGCCCAGGAGGTTGAGGCTGCAGTCAGCTGTAATCACACCACTGCACTCCAACCTGGGTTGGAGACTCTGGGAAAAAAATAATAAAAAGAGAGAGAGAAAGAAAGAAAGAGGAAAGAAAGATAGTTTAAAAAAAGAAAGAAAGAAAACTTAAGCAAGAGAGAGACAGCTCATTACCATAGCCTTTTTTTTTTTTTTTTTTTTTTTTTTTTGAGGCAGAGTCTCCCTCTGTTGCCCAGGCTGGAGTGCAGTGGCTCAATCTTGGCTCACTGCAAGCTCCCTCTCCTGGATTCAGCAATTCTCCTGCCTCAGCCTCCTGAGTAGCTGGGACTACAGGCGCCCTCCACCACGACCGGCTTATTTTTTTGTATTTTTAATAGAGACGAGGTTTCATTGTGTTGGCCAGGATGGTCTCGATCTCCTGACCTCGTGATACGCCCGCCTCGGCCTCCCAAACTTCTGGGATTACAGGCATGAACCACCGTGCCTGGCCAATTTATTTTACTTGAAGTAAGAACAAACATAGTGTTTAATTATAACCATTATTATTTTTACTATTAATTTATTTGGATTCCAGTAGATCAATGCCAAGTGGCTACTTAAACCGGAAGAACTATGTATTTTCTCTCTTTTTTTTTCTTGAGACGGAGTCTCGCTCTGTCGCCCAGGCTGGAGTGCAGTGGTGCGATCTCAGCTCACTGCAAGCTCCGCCTCCCAGGTTCACGCCATTCTAACACCTCAGCCTCCCGAGTAAGTGGGACTACAGATGCCTGCCATAACGTTCATTTAATTTTGTTTTTGTAGTTTTAGTAGAGACGGGGTTTCACCATGTTAGCCAGGATGGTCTCGATCTTCTGACCTTGTGATCTGCCCGCTTTGGCCTCCCAAAGTGCTGGGATTACAGGCGTGAGCCACGGCGCCAGGCCTTTTTTTTTTTTTTTTTTTTTTTTTAATCTGGGACAGAATATCACTCCGACTCCCAGGCTGGAGTGCAGTGACATGATCTCAGCTCACTGCAACCTTTGCCTCCCGGGTTCAAGCAATTCTCCTGCCACAGACTCCCAAGTAGCTGGGATGTCTTGCTCTGTCGCCCAGGCTGGAGTGCAAAGGCAAGATCTCGGTTCATTGCAACCTCCGCCTTCCGAGTTCAAGCAGTTCTCCTGCCTCAGCTTCCCAAGTAGTTGGGATGACAGGCATGCAACACCAAACCTGGCTAATTTTTGTATTTTTAGTAGAGACAGGGTTTCACCATGTTGGCCAGGCTGGTCTCGAACTCCTGACCTCAGGCGATCCACCCACCTCAGCCTCCCAAAGTGCTGGGATTACAGGCGTGAGCCACTGTGCGTGGCCTCTGCCATAACTATTTAAAAAAAAAAAAAAACAGCCACTAAAGATACATGATAGGTTTTTGTTGAGCAAAGAAAGAATGAAAACTCTATGGATTATGGCAATTATAAATAAGAATGTCTGAAGATTATTTTACGAACTGACATTATTTTTTCTACCCATCCCTTTCTTCCCAAGGAACTGCCCTTCACGACTCCAGGGAACGCTCTCAAACAACAGCGCTGGCAAGAACCTAGAGGCAAACTCTCTAAGAGAGTTCCAAAAGATAGCCTGACTGCTAAAAGAAATTGAAAACAGGTGTTTTCATTTGCTTTGTATTAAAAGAATTCAAAGGCCGGGCGCCATAGCTCATGCCTGTAATCCCAGCACTTTGGGAGGTTGAGGTGGGCAGATCACAAGTTCAGGAGATCAAGACCATCCTGGCTAACACGGTGAAACCCCTTCTCTACTAAAAATACAAAAAATTAGCCAGGCCTAGTGGCGGGCACCTGTAGTCCCAGCTACTTGGGAGGCTGAGGCAGGAGACTGCTTGAACCCAGGAGGCGGAGGTTGCAGTGAGCCAAGATCCTGCCATTGCACTCCAGCCTGGGCGACAGAATGAGACTCCATCTCAAAAAAAAGTAAAATAAAAATAAAAAAAGGAAAGTATCTCAGAGGAAATCTGCCATTTATGAGAAAAGCAGAGCATAGTTAAAATGAATAGTCCAAGTTATGGGGAAGAACAGTATCTCCATCCCTTATGTTTCCAGATGCAGCAACTTCAGGTAGGTGAGTGGCTTTCTACCTCACTACACATTGATTCCCTGGGTGGCTTTGAACTGTGAGATTGGCTGAGAATCACTGAGTATCTCCCTGATCCTCATTCACCCCTCCGGGAATAGGAGTGAGCAGTGAGACATGTGAGTTGGGAAGAATAGACTGAGCTCAGCCCTTCCTCCACCTTTCTAGACCTGTATGTTACAGGGAGTGGATCTGCTTCCTATGACCCTGCCTTTGCTGAGAAGCCTGTGTTGTTCAGCTGTGCCAGCAACCAGGTGGGGAAGTCTGGGGAAAGTGTGAGCCTGCGCACTTGGCCACATCTTCCAGTTGACTTCATAAAGCTGATATTTTGATGCTCACCTATCTGACTCCTGTATTTCTCTCAATTGATTCTGAATTCAAGAGGAAGAAAGATACTGTTAGCCCACCAAGGAAGGAATTTTTGGCTGGTATAAACTCTTGCCCTAGACCCAGGGACCCTGGCGATATGACCTTAGATTTACCTTCAAGCCACTCTGCTCACCAGAATGTATTGATACAAGATAAACTTGGAATGTTAGCAGGTCAGACTGCCCCTGGCTTACAGAAGCATTCATTGTGAAACCCCTGATTGATGAGTTGCAGCTGCCCTGTTAGGCATGTGATTTAGCACTTTCTCCCAGAGGCTATGCAACAAGCATGGACTATGCATAAGTAGAGGATAGAAAGGGTGGCTGCCCAGAGGTCAAATCTTCTGCACGTGCTTCAGCCTCACCTCTTGCAACTGAGCATGCTGTGTGGTGGAGGGGCATGGAAGCTGCACCCAGCATTGCCAGACATCAGAAGGTCTCTGCTGTTTAGCGGTGTGCATTATTTACAGTGTACCTTTTAAGGCTAAGTAAACTGGTATAGGGAACATACTGTGACTTGTGAGACTTTTTTAAAAAATCAATTTTGATCTTAGGACCAACAGATATTGAGTAACACATGTAGCAAATAGTCCACTAAATTCCTACACCTGAAAGAAATCAGGCATATTCCTCCAT